CGTCACTATTTCCACAAGCGGGTACTGCATTACTGCATTCGTTTCCAGGATCAGTTGGATGTCACTTAAAATGATTTTCTCTCTCTCTCTCTATTTTAGATGGTCGTTGCTTCCTATCGTCAGGCGCATATGACCAATGCTCCTCCTGTTGGTTAACAGGAGCTTCGTCGGGGGGCGCAGCGGTCTTGCACAAAGCAATGCTGCCACCCATTTTTTTTATAAAATGATTTTATTCTACTGTTGAATATATCACAGAATAACATTTTGTACTATGAGGGATGGCAGCACTGGCTGCAAAGTTTATTTCTTTGACAAGTTGTGTTCTGTCTTTTAATGAAGAGTTAGTCTTTTGCTGATGCTTAAATGTAACTGTTGTGTATTATTATTTCACTGCTCGCCTCCATTCCCGCCAGTCTGTCTAACGTCTACTCCCTCCACTTTAAACTAATCATTACGCGTTTGTCAGCAGGTAGGTAATGGCACATTTAGAATACAAGTGTATCCTGAATTAATGGTGGCTACTTCCGTAAGAAATTAAAAAAAATGATGAGGTATGTATCATTTACTCTGATAAATATGATCTCATGAATACGGTAACGAATTTGAAGCCACCCCTGACGATTCATCGAACAAACACATGACCTCACCTCGAAAGAATGCAGTCTGAAACAGCCGGTAAAATTCTAGACGAGTACCCAACCGTCTACACTGTCTACAGAATTCTCGAAAGGACCTTTACCATAAGCCCGTCTTCCCGACCCAAGAGGGCATCTACGCCGACGACACGGCTCTCCTATCATCTTCCATGGGTCGGGAGCTTGGAATCGTCTACATGCAACGTACATTGGACGACCTCGAGCGCTGTTACCTCGAATGGAAGATCCGAGTGAAGCCGGACAAGACTCAGGCGATAGCCATGGGAAAAACGACATCTTCTCCGGCTAGAAAAGTGAGGATCTCTGGAAGGGGGATCGAGTAGCAAGCGTGGGTAAAGAGTACCTTGGTCTTCTAATAGACCGTAGGTTCACTTGGAACCAGCACATCACAACCGTGAACCTCTGATCAATAGACGATCCAAACTGAGCTTTAAGAACGAAATTATTATCTACAAAACGATGTTCAAGCCTGTCATCATGTATACTTCAGGCGTCTGGGGACAAGCAGATCCGTCTAACAGCTCCATTCTGGAGAGATTGCAGTGCCTTCTTTTTCCGAAAACTTTTTTCTCGTTTATTTCGAAAATTTAGCAAGAACTTTGAAACCATCGTCATTATGGGCGATTTACTACCTGCTGAGAAGTACCCTGAATATCAATAAAAATGTGGACATCATCAAATATTTCAAATTATGTGCTTCTCTAAAACGCAAATCTGGTGTATAACCATCTGATGTATAACCGAAGAAATCGTCGACGCTCACCACTGAACAAATAAATCAATAACAGGCAAGCAAAAGGATTTGAAAATATTTTGCAGATCAAAAAATACCTGTTCGCACTTGTATTTGACATTATTATATTATTTAAAACTTTTTATTCATTCACTCATAAAGTGAATATCAATTATGATTACTACTCATATCACAATCAGACATCACATTGGTAATTGCCAGAGTAGCTCAGCGGTAACGCGTGTCAGTTCAGACTGACTAACTTAATTAGTTTATTATCCAAAGCCATAATCTCAAACAAATATATTGTACCAATCCTTTTGAAAGTCAGTCGTAGAAAAAGTATAGTACGCACCTCGAGGATAAAGTCAATTACGTCTACTTGCGAATTATTGGACTCGGCTAACGCCTCGTGCTTACAATTTTTCCTCGTGGGTAATTGCCTTTTTATCCTACTTGGTACGTAATATACTATTGATTCATACATTATTATCAAAGTGTTATCATTATTGTTCTTTCCATAATATCAATGGACGTTGAGGAGAATTTTAGAAAAACAAAATCTATTGGAATTGTCCGAAACATATTTCAGAAAATTATTCAGGCTCTCGAAGGAACTTGTTTGATATTTTGAAAGAGGCGTTGGCTCTCTTTCTCAGACATTCACGACGATCTGTCTTGTCAATTGAAACAAAAGTGAGAACTGAAACCTTTTGTGAAATTTACAGTGTGCACGTGAAGGTTGAAACAAATAAGGTAAACGCTTGACATGGCCAGTGGGGAAAAAAGCTCAGACAAGTCGAGTTTCTTTTTCTCGAGTTATGACGTCATTATGATTTTTTTTAATGGCAATACCCCATATTTAGAAGTTTTTGTATAACTGTTCTAAGAACATGTGTCACTAACATTCATTCGACCTCACACTCACAATAATATATAGTTATCACATAATTGTGGAATAAATACGTTATCGACATCATGGCTCGTTTAAGTTCAAATAAGACCCGTGGAGATAACGCATGGAAATAGACCCCTACGCAAGTTGGGGTTTGTAATTTCTTCTTCTGCTTAATTTTGGTAACAGCTTCCAGATGGCGCTATTATGACCAGTAATCTTTTTATTATAGTAAAAACTATAATAAAAACTTTATCCGGGGAGTGCAGAAGTCTTGCTTTACGCAATACTACACCTCATTTTTTTTCTTCCCAAATTATTATTATTTGATAGGCACGTCTTTTTGCGGCGAACATATACATACATATAATATTAACGTCTTCTTCATTAAAAGATTATCCATTGCAATCCTATTCCCACGTGGACATCCGGTCCACCCCGGCGTGAATGAGAGCATTATTTATTTAAAACACTTAAACAATGTTTATTAACACTATTTTTAATTTATGCTTGCACGTTATAAAACGGCGGACATTCACAACATGAACTGGGTTCCATCTCCAACAATGGCGTCCGCGTAACTTCTTTGTCCGCCCACCCCCATGTCAGAAACGAAACCGGGGTTTGTAACTTATTTACCAATAAATATCCCGATAGACCTATTACACGTTCGACGGTGAGCACAGTCAAAGCAAAATTTAGACATTTTTGGCAATGCTTGTGGTACGTGACAACATAGGCGTTTTCTGACGCTCATGTATTCAAAACGTATTCGTCTGTGATTCAAATACATTCATTCTGGCGTTGAACCGCTGACGTTATATCAAGTATGATTTGAAGCGTATTCATGATGATTCAAAACTAGCGTGAAGTTGGTTTTGAAACTGAATTTGACGGGACGTTACGTCAGTTGTCAATTTCTGCTTTATTTTGATCGTTATAGTTCACAAAGTGCGGAAATAGTCTGGTCAAATTAGACCAACAAATAGGAGTAAAGCTACCTAAATACTGTTTTCTTAAGAACCACCGTTTTTGACCTATAACGATTCAAAAAGTTGTAATCGTCATAATATGCATGAGTACGCCACGTATATATATCTCTATAGTTGTAATATATGTTAAAATATTTTTCTATCAGTCATTGTAACTTACACTTATGATATAAAATATACATAAGTTATAAATATAAGAATATCAGGAAAAATGAAATCCAGTCTCTTAATTTATACGCCATTGTAACCTTGAGACATCTGTGCGTGGTTAGGGTCTTATATCTGCTATAATAAATAAAATACCGTTAGTCTTGAACGCCAGTCGATAGTGAAAACACGTGTTTATCCTAACCAATATCGTGCTGTTTTAAGTTTTATTTGTGCTAAACTTTTAACTGAAAGTGAAAAATTAAACTTTAATCTTCCTCTTGAAAATGATCACTTGGTGATCAAACACGTGTCGAGGTGTTGAAATAACTGTTTCGTGTTGGGATAAAAAACAGTAATATTCATTACTACACCAAAGGTTCCAAACAGTGCATCACAGGAACTTATCATATTTGTCCAATAGTACCTTTCTTCGATCCTTTTTAGGGTTTCATCTATACCACGTTAATTAGAATTGTCTCGGAGATAGTTTTTGATGGATTCTTTAATTTTTTTCTTGTAATATCTATTAGCTTTTTTGAACATTACTTTAACTTGATAGAATTTTTTTAAACTGTAGAATACCTGAAAATGGTTCAGGATTCTCAAAGCGGTAATGAATATCAGGACTAATATATTCCTCAATGAAATCGATTACGCCTTTTTTGAAAATAATTTCTTAAAAACTGAACTAGCGTTTTTATTCTCGAATAAAATTATTATTTTACCCATAATTGACAGCCTAATCTACATTTGGGTTGTTTATAATTGGCATAAAAGTGGATGGTATGGTTTTCATAATTTCGGTTGACAGGGAAAGTTTCATTGTTATTTTCAAAGGTTGGACAATTGATCAATTTTCGGTGACTGATTGTTCATTTTCAATGGAGTAGTCGCTTGTATTATTTAATATGTCATTGTGGTCATTACCAATATCAACAATAATAGAAAAATCGTCTAAGTCTTGTGAAGGTTCACCAATCGTTACAATGTCGTTGATCGATACAAATACGGTATAAAGTTTTTTTGCCTATACGATGGCTAACAATTCATTTTCGAATACTAAATATTTCTTCATCATGAAATGGCGTCTGCGATGTTGGATAAACTCTTCTTTCCAATGGCGCTAAGATGTAGTTCTTCTTAACATCATTTTTGTTCAGAATTATTTGAAACACATCACATTCATTTCTCTTCCTTAGCTGAAATGCAGGTATAACTGACGCTTCGATATTTAATATAGATGTTGATGAACAAAGTCAATTCATTATTATATCCTGTCTTTTGTTTTTTCCTGAGTTTCTCTCCCCTTCATTTTTTCCCATTTATGTATCATCACTAAGTTACCTGATTTGCTCTACTTTCTAATTCATTAAATCATTAGTTTCTTAGTTTAGAAGTCCAAGTAGAAGATCTGGAGGTCAATTCTCGAAATTGTACATTCTGCGAACGTGTCAAAAAGAATAACGTAGAGCAATATTTAATATGTGTGCTAACGTATTCGATCATAACTCGAGGAACAACCCTCTGAATCGGTTCAGTTTGTTTTTAATGTTTTAGGATATGATGAAAATTAACACATAATACAAATATTTATTCAAATATGTCTAACAATAAAAAAAATTAGGAATCACAAGCAGTGGATCGATTCAGTCAATAAAATAAAACAAATATACTATACACAAACATTAAGTGAGTTCACTTATGTCTTTAACCCTAATACCCACTTTGGAAGAAACTGACACGCTATTCAGTTCTGATGTGGCGGTAGGAGTCACTGAAAAGTCATTCAGCGCAGCACTGGCGGGAGTCGAAACATCACTAACAGGAGCTAAGAATACACTAGTGGGAACAGTATTCTCAGTTGCAAATGATGTACGCTCTGTCAAATTATCACAATTCGCGAGAATATTATTATTGGCGTTGGTTGATGTGCTGGGCAAAATACAAAATGTATTGAAGCTAGCCGGTACCTTCAACTGTGGGACTGCTGTGGTGCCTGTATAACGGAATGAAGGAGAAAGACAGTTCACTTCTGGTGCTCTAGAAGTAGTTAAAGTGGTAGATCCATTACTGGTGGCATCAAACACTGGTGTACTGCCCACGGTATTACTGTTTTGAATGAATGATGTATTTGAAGGAGCTGGAACACAACTTACTTTCGAAGATCCTGCAATACCTACAGTCGTAGTTGGAACTGATGTACTACATATAGCAGCATTGTTTTCAATAAATGAGATATTTGAAGCGGGTTGAATGCGCCTCATTTCTGGAGATCCGGTATTACTGACGTTTGTCGTTCCAATATTGCCGGTGTTCAAAACTGATGTATTACATGTTGAACCTTTTTGAATAAATGAATTATTCGACGAAGACCAGACATTACTCAGTCCTAGAGATTCAGAAGTACCTATCATAGTTGTTCCAGTGTTAACTGTATTGAATACTGGAGTACTGGAGATGCTGATATCACTCTGAATACATAAATTATTTGATGGATGTTGGATAGAACTCAAACCGGTAGAACTTAATGTTGGATTATCATTTCCGATAGTATTGAAAACTTGAGGTACGGTGATGCTAGAACTGGTTTGAATATATGAACTACTCGACTGCGTTTGAACAGGGATTGCCTTTGAAAGTTCAGAACAAACACTGGAGATCTTAGAAATATTTTGCCCTACGGATGCTTCTGTTCCACTAACCTGAATGTTTGATGAATTTTGAATTATCACAGAATTGTTATTGTTCAATGATTTTTTTGTGTATTCATGATTCGAATTGAAAGACGTAGTTTTCGAAGAAATGAAACCATTGTCGATTTTCTTCAAATCATTGCATATCAAATCATTCCATAGACAACGTTTTTTCACTCTGGTAGTAGCTGATTTATATTCGTAGGAAACTTTGAATTCACCTTTGGTGATAAAAACAGGTATCTTATAAATAAGTAGTTGGTGCCTAAGATTCTTCAACTCAGTAGTAATTTCTTGACTATTTACAGTTATCGAGTCATTTGAAGGTAGATCCGTTTGGGTGGTTGTTTCAGATTGGGACTGTACCAGTTGGAATTTCGTCAAAAGATCTTTAACAACTTTTGCGTCTGAAGCTTTGTGATCAAATATGTCTACAATCGCAGCATTTCTGATTTTAATATCGGGTTTCACTATGTATGATGGTATGTTTTGTTCTACATTTGTTGGTGTTGCTGGATTATCTACCGGAGCAGATATTCTGTCAACATTGGACTTCAGTACTCCACTAGGCGGCGCAGTAACTGGAATATCTTTTTTAGAAGCAGTAGGAGCTTGTCCAAAAGTATTTGAAACAATATTTTGACTGGTCCCTGAATGATGAGGAATTGTAGAAGTAGAACATACTGGAGGCAATGCAGAATCTTCTTCATCAGATAATATTTCAATTACTTCTGGAGTATTGATCATTGAAATATTACTGTTTTCCATGATGCTTGGCGAAACTTCGGTGGATTCTAGCGATTTCGAGTTTTCGGGGTCCTTCGTTCCAATTTCATTATCTGATTTTAGACCAGGTATTGGTGGGAAGCTACAAAATGCATCTGAATATTCATTTCGTACTTTGATATTGAACTCAACTTTTTCCAATTCAACTGCAGGCAAGTTGTTCATCATGTTCTTTATTTTGCAATATTTATCTATATGTATAAGCTTCCAGTCAATCGATTTGAACTTCAACTTACAAAATTGACATTTTAGATGTTTCAATTTGTGTCTTTTTAGTTCTTTGGCACTATACTGAAGAGAATTGCAAATGTCACACATGAATAATGGTACAGACTTGTCAAGGTACAATGTACCGGTTGTGTCGCAATTTGATTTCTTTTTAGGAGTCAGGCCCAGAGATTCAATAAATGTAGGTTTTTCCAGATTTTTTTCTGCCGATGAATCTTCGGGAGTGAGTATTCTTTTATTAGATGTATTTGAATCTTCTGATGTGAGTTTTCTTTTATTAGATGTATTTGAATCTTCTGATGTGGGCTTTTCTTTGACATTTTTAATGGGGACACTGATCGTTTCAACCGATTTTTTCTCTTTTACTATGATGCTTATATGAGGAGGTGTATTATTTTTTACTGTAGTAGATACTGACTTTACGGTATCATCAGGTTCTTTTCGCTGAGGGTCAATAACTTTTTTTCTCACAATAGCCTTTTCTGGAACCTCTGAAGCCTTTGGCTTACTTAAGGGTTTAGCGGAGCCCTTTTTCTTTGCAATTCTTCTATAACATTTTGATGAAAACTGACAATATTTCTGCATATCTAATTTTCGATCTCGGAAATATTTTTCTACTGCATTCATTTCCAATGAAACGTAAGTGGAAATATTCGAGTTCAGGCATACTGATGGTAGTCTTATTTGAGGGTGATATTTGAATAGCTCAGTTATACTGGGATGAACTAATAATTTCGTCTTACTGACTTCTGTTTTCGATTCCTGCTTCGGTTCCACTTTCTCTGCCGAGATTGTAATGTTTGTATTAGGGATTTTCAGTTTGACTTTGGAATTTATCAGCATTTCCGCATATCGGTTCTGAAAAATAAGTACTTTTGTTAAAAAAAAATTGAAGATCTCGAGTTGCAAAAGATATTCACTTTTCATTCAAAGAGTATATTTTGATTTTCATCTACAAATATCAAATATTTTTTAATAACTTTCGAATGAGTTACAGTTTACATCACAATTACATACAGAGTAACAATTTGAAAACTTACAATGGCTATATCTGAGCAATCAAATAAAATATAAGAAATCGCTGAAAATAACTTCCATAATGGGGACAAAGAAAAATGGATGTAGTAAATTTAGCCTGAATTATTTTTGTTTATTTGTACCTGAAAAAAATTTACTTAGTTGATGAGTGAAAGTAACAAAATAGGGATGTTTGAAATATTCGTTTTTGAGAGGTATTTTTGTATTATATTTTTTACTTCAAGACACAAAACGACACTCTTATTATTAATACATTTAATTTTTATTTCGATAAGTTGTATGCAAGAAACAGAATTTTCATTTGCAACAATGGTGTATAACACAGCTGAACGTGTGAAAATGATTTTTATTTATGGTAGAGAAGATCAGTGTTTGTTGGGTACAACTAAAAAAATTTAACCAGTACCCGGAGAGAAATGTAAGTCACGTGTACATTCGCTAACTGGTAGCAAAATTTCAAGAAACACTGGTACTGTCACAAATGAAAATAAAGGAATTAACCAAGATTACTGGACGAAGCAACGCAAATTGAAGTACTTAGTACTTACTAGGACAGTTTGTATACTTTAGCGACTCGTCAGGCAGCTATAGCAACAGGATTATCCCGCGAATCTGTGAGGAAAGTATGAATTTCATCCATTTAAAATGCACATCCTTCAAGAACTTGGTGACGATGATCCTGACCGAAGATTTAAATTTTGTGAAATTATGACAGCCAGAATTATTCCCAGAACCTCGGCTCATAAAAAATATTTGCTTTAGAGACGAGTGCACTTTTTATAAGCACGCAAATAAACGAAACTGTCGTTACTGGAGCGGCGGGAACCCATGACTATTTAGAGAAGGGCATACGCAATATCCCAAAAAAGTTAATGTTTGGGCTGGTATATTGGGGGATGCAATTATTGGTTCAGTATTTATAGAAGGACATTCAAATGGCGAAATGTATGCTCGCATGCTAAAAGATCTATGGAACTTCGAATAGTTCATGAATTAGAGAATCAGAGAGACATACCTACACGACAATTTGTCTTTGGAAGAAAATTTATATTTTCAACAGTATGGGGCACCTCCTCATTATGTAGTTCCAGTTAGACAAAGGTAAGATGATAATTATGCTAATCAATGGATTGGAAGAGGAGGTCCTATTGAATGGCCTCCTAGATCCCCTGACCTATCTCCTCTTGATTTCTTCCTCTGGGGCAATCTAAAATGTGTTGTTTTTGAGACGCGACCTGACTCAATAGAGTAATTGCAGGAAAGAATAATCCAAGAATGCCAAGTTATTTCCAGAGAAACATTTGCCAATGTACGTCAAGAGTTTGAAAATATACTCTATCTATTATTGTTTCGAAAAGAATGGAAATCATTTTAAATATTTCTTAAATTAATAATAGTAAATAAAATTTCAATTCAAATAAATAGTGTTTTATTTAATAAACCAAAAACTACTACATCGAATGTAGCTTTGTAGGGTACCATTAAAGAGCATTTCTTAAGAGCTTTTGGACAATGTATCACAAGTAGGGGGGTTGCCGTTTAAGAATATAAAGTTGGGGTAGCTGGGGGCAAGAGGGTAAGTGAGAACAAGTTAGCTATTACATAATTTTGTTTATCCTCCCTATTATGGAAGTTGTTTTTAGCGATTTCTTGTATTTTATTTGGTTGCTCGGATATAGCCATTGTAAGTATTCGAATTGTCACTTTGTGTTATTCTATAGAGTTATTCTATCTCTATAAAGTGAATGCAGGGCAATGAATGTTCACTGTGTATCGTCTGATTAGTTCTAGCAATCTCACGTTAATTCTTATAATCAAAAGACATTCAATATATTAAGCATATCATGTTACGTTCAAAGATTACTGTTCAAAGGCGTTTTCTGGCGCCCATGTATTCAAAACGTATTCGTTCGTCACATCAACTATGATTTGAAACTAGCGTGAGGTTGGTTTTGAAACGGAGTTTGAAGTACGTTACGTCGGTTGTCAGTTTCTGCTTTTGATCGTTATAGTTTATAAAGTGCTGAAAACATTTCATCAAATACGTTGTAAGCATGTACAAAATAAAGCTGTAAGCACAAATCTGATTTTAATTGAGGTAAAAGGAACTTGAAGAGTTTTTTTTATTATTGAATTTGACATCTGGCACAAATTGAATCATTCCATTCTGGCGAATCTTAATATTAATGACGTCACTACGAATAGTTTTTGAAAACACGAATACGATCAAACGCCAGAAAACACCTCAAAATACATAAATATATTTATTGAAAGAAAAATGAAAATATGTTTTTACAGGCCTCCCATAAAGTAACACATACATTATGAACTGCATGAACAATATTCGGAATTCCCAAAACAGGTGAATTTTTGATTTCCATTCATTGTTTGACAAAAATTATTCAGTAAATAGGGTTACTTATCTGTGAGTAATGACGTAATCACCATTTTTTCACAGGAATACTTTTCTGAGTTCAGATTTATATTTTCTAACTTGACAGATAGAATTGGAACCTCTGGCTTAAAATGTTCTGGAGGTAGTTTGACAACATTGCTAGATGCCTAATATGAGCTGGCAATCTGAATGCTTTGCGTACAAGCTAGTAGACACTTTATCTGTGTCCTACGTGCATTTCCGTCAGAATATGTTCAAGCTGTATGCAATTGAAAAGGTGGTGGAAGGCAAGCTACAGATTATGCGGAGTCCTTTCAGGAGAACTAGAAAAGGTTGAACGGGAAGTATAAATAAAAACCAAAACATCATCATAACTTGGGTTCATGGGTTGCTTGACGTATTTAAATTGGACTTTCATTGGGAGATTTTCGCTAAATTCATAAAAAACGCAACACGTGCTTTACTATGAAATAATGAAATAGCTTTTTTAGGCGTGCTCAATACTAGTATTGAACAAGCCTTCAATATCAGTATTGAACATGTGTTAAAGTTTTGTAAATTGAGTGAAAATCTCATTTACAGTTAAAATCAAATCATATATTCCTTCGGGCCGGATATTTCCAATAATACCTCATTCACATGTAAAGTCAAATCATATGGTCATTCGTTGCCTATAAAGAGCAGCAATTTGGTAATACAAATCCAGTATTATGTCTGAATTGAGAACAAGTTAACGACAGCAAGACGAAATATTCTGTACGTGGTAAATCTCATGAAAGCAAAAACGTTAGCACAATAAATATTGAGACGTCAAAAGGAATGCGAAATCGAAATTCAGATAAAAAAAAACAGATGAAAATTAAAAATCAGCAAGAAATTTTGGAAAAACAAGAAATCTTAGATTTGGAACTTGCAATGAAACTAGTCTAAATTGAAGGAATTGAGTCAGCATCTCATTAGTTTAGACTTCCATTGTCTAATATGATATAAATTGATTTGAAATCCCTGAAAGAATCTATTAAAATTTAAAAGATTTAACAATTATATTAAGCAAAAATACCGAAATTACAGTGAAATAAAATACAAGCAACAATTAAAAATTAACATTGACATTGAAATGAACAAGAACTGAAAATTAAAAATCATTAACAAGAAATGAGAATTAAAATATGTTAAGCCAAGTTACTTCACCACCTTCGAACAGATATTGAATACCCGGTACGGACCCGGAACCAGCGACTTATTCCGAGGATATGAGAAGACTATGGTCAAACTTGCCAAAGAAGAAACTCCTCAGTTTCTTCAGTTTCTTGTGCAGAGCTAGAGACGACATCATACCCAAAGGTGTTCTGCTGAAATCGCCAATCCCAGGAAAAAGAGAGAGCCAAACGCATATTGGACCGCGCCAGCGGAGTACTGATAAGGTCTCAAATTAATTACCACCGTTGGAAGAGGTCAACTCTGATGCAGGATGCCATAGAACGATTTGAAGAAATAAGAAGAGATGCCTTGGAATATGATCATGGACCAATCTTTGCCAAGATTGAAAGCAAGTGCTTGAAGAACCGACAAGACATGGAGAATACCCAGAACAGGAAGAGAGGAAAGCTGGTGAGGCAACAATGCCTAAATGCAGACCGAAAACAGGAAAACTATGAAGCCGCCAACGTCATCAACATGAGTTTCCGCCCGCTCACGGACATAGAGGAATCCTTGTTGAGGAAAGGTCTAAACTACACCATTGCGCCAACATCTGTGCCCACTTTGGAAATAATAACTTCAGTGGAATCCATCAGTTCCCTTATTGATCAGATCGAGGCAGAAGAATTCAGATGGAAAATCAGAGAACAGTTAGATCGAGAATCAGTTCCAACATCTAACATCAGCAACGATGACTGAAGAACTCTGAAAGGCTCACGTAGAGATAACACCATCAAGATCTTACCTGCAGATAAGGGAAACGCTACTGTTGTGATGGATACTGATCTCTACGAACAGAAGATCGAAGTGGTTCTTCAGAAAGTACAATACACGAAGATCGTACGGGACCCTACTGCATCAATTGAAAGGAAGTAGTACCAGACTTTGAAAAAACACCAAGTCTATTTTTCAGCAAAAAAAGAGAGATCATCGCTAACATCGCTCCTCAGACCGCTCAGACCGATCATTAGCTCCAGAGATTGTCCAGATTTTTACTACCAATAATAAAACCACTGCAAGGAAAAACTTCATTTTTTGTGAAGAATTCAAGGCATTTTATCGAACTACTAGGGACTATCGAAGTCATAGAGCAGGATTAACGTAGAAAGCCTCTACACTAGCGTTCCAATCGAAGGAGCACTTCAAATCATACAAAGGAAGCTATTCGAAGATGGAGCTGAATGATAGAACGAACTTACCGATACAAGTAATCATGGAATTACTAGGATGCTGTGTACGAAACTGCTATTTCCAACTGAAGGACCAATTCTTTACGCAATATGAGGGACTGTCAATGAGATCTCTTCTTTCACCGGCTATGGTCAACATATATACGGAGTGGTTTGGAAACTCTGGCCATTGAAGAAACCCACAAGAAGCCCCGAGTCTGGTTGAGATACGTTGATGACACGTTCATAATATGGAACCATGGGAATACAGAACTAGACACTTTCCTGAAGTACATCAATAATGTAAGTCCTTCCATCACTTTCATAATGGAAAAGGAAGTCTTAGACGTATTGGTGAAGAGGACCGACACTAAATGGGAAACATTATGTATACCGAAAACCCACTCACACGGGACAGTATCTGAACCAGGAGTCCAACCACCATCAGTCGACTAAGAGAGAAATTATCAGGACTCTATTAGACCGTACTTTCGGGCTTTGTAATGCAAAGGAAGGTCTCGATAAGGAACTAGGCATCATCAAACATGATCTCCAACGGAATGGTTACTCCAAAGTGATGGTGAAACAGACTTTGGCTAGAAAACAACAAGAGCGCGAGTGCGGAGAATCATACATTGCTGAAACTAAGAGGCCATTGAAGGTTCGCATTGCCTAGGACAAGAAACACACACAACGATGAGAAACCAGCAAATCAGGAATAGCAGGATGAACTCATCAGCATAACATCAAGTGATCTCAAGGTGAAATCATCCACAAGGAGAAACACTGGTTTAGAAAAAAATTCAAAGAAGCCGCATATATGTTGTCCAACAACGCATTTAGCCAAGCTAGCGTAGAGATACGCAACATATGAAATCAAGCGGAACCCAACAAACTCCCGCCAAACAGTCAGCTCCCGCTAAAACCGATGAAGCGGAGAGAAGGAAAAGGAAATAGTTGAAAGCACTCGAATGACCTATGAATAGTCAGATCTCGGAGGAATAAGTCCAGTCATCACTCGAAGACGATTGTGGATACTAACAATCGAAACGTCGGTGAAGTAACTTGGCTTGGAATCTTTTAATTTTCATTTCTTGTTTTTAATTGTTGCTTGTATTTTATTTCATTGTAATTTCGGTATTTTTGCTTAGCTAATCTTTTCAGTTTTTATAGATTCTTTCAGGTATTTCAAATCTATTTATATCATATTAGACAATGGAAGTCCGAACTAATGAGATGCACCACGAAACATTGTCAACCACCTTCAAAGAAAGAATTGAGTCAGTATCTACTTGCAAGGATCCAATTGGATCAGATGGATATGAGTCAGCTGGATGACAAGAAGAACTCCGTGGGATTGTGATGACAAAGCAGGTGTTTTCACTAAAATATGAGCTAGATCAGAAAAATGAGACTAAGGTAAGTAAAGGTTATATTTCTAATATTGATTCTGAAGAAATCAAATGTAACGTGGACAGAATTTAGTTCCTTCCTCATTTTGGAATAACAAACAAACCTAACAAAATGATAATCATTTTTGATTCTTCTGCGAGGTCCAACGAAGTAAGTTTGAATGATTTTTTGTTAACTGGACCTTGCAAAACAAGAATTAAGCAATGTTTTTGAATGGAAGTATGTTCAGTCAAAGCAGAACGTTGCAGATGAAGCAACCAAGAGTTATGATAAAACGAATTTCTCAGCTGAAAGCAGATGGATAAATGGTCCTGACTTTGCGTACACACAAAATAGTAAAAATTACTACGTTCAATCGCATGGATGTTCAGATTCGTAAATAATTGCAGAAAAAACAGAAAAGATGGGGAACTTGATGTACTGGAATTGGACAGAGCAAAATTTCAGTTATGGAAAAAGGTACAGTTTGAATCATACCCTGATGAAATGTTGATCCTCAAATGAAAGGCAAAATTCTCGCCGTCAAATAAATTGTATACATTCTATTGTTCATTTGATGGAATCGTAGGACTGATGAAATGTTATAAGAATTAATAATGCATTTGTGAATGAAAACACCAAAAGGTCTGTCATATTGAATGCCAAACATGAAATCACAAAATTAATCATTAAATACCATCATGAACTCGTGAACCATCATGATCAAGAAACAGTTGTCAATAATCTACCCCAAGCAGTTCGAAGCTGTTGGGAAAATTACCAAATTTGTCAAAACAGAAAAAGTTCTCCAAAAATACCTCTTGCCATTTTGTCGACTCGAACCCACTGTTAGACCGTTTATCAAACACGGAGTGGACTATTTTGGACCAATTGAAATAACTGTGAAAAGATCACACGAGAAACGATATGATTTACTTGTACGGTTACAAGAGCTGCCCACTTAGAAATAGTTCAAGACATGACCACCAATGGATTCATTCACGTATTCATACAATTTGGTTGCAGAAGAGGTTTCCCAGAAGAAATATTCAGCGATAATGGAACCAACTTCAAAGGAGCGAAAGGTGAACTGGCAGAAAATCTTCAGAATAAGGACCAAGAGGAAATTAAAAAAATATTGCACATTGAAAAATGCAAAATGGACATTTAACCCGCATATGGAGCGTATGGGAACGTTTGATACAATATATCAAGAAACCTTTGAAGGAAATGTGGAGGGAATGATATCCCCAAGCATATGTCTTCAGAACAGCCTTCGCGGAAATAAGGACCAATCTGATGTCCCGACCACTGACGCACGTATCAACGGATCCAAATGATTCTGAAGCACCGACTCCAAACCATTTTTTGATTCAGCCATTATATGCTGCATTACAGTGTGCAAAGATTGAAGAAACGAATTGACATCTCCTGAAGAAATAGATGGCAGCTCAGAAGACTGCCGACATATTCTAGCAACGTTGGCCACGTGAGTATGTGCCATAGCTAATTGAAAGAAGCAAATGACACAATGGACAAAATCCTCTCAAAATAGATAATATATGAACCTAACGCACCTCGGAACTGCTGGCTCAAAGGAAAAATAGTTCATCTCTATTTAGCAAAGGATGGAAAAGCCAAGAACATGATTTTCTGAAGACCAGTCTCCAGGTTATGTGTTGCTAGTATACTATCAGAACGAAGGACGAGTAATTGTTGATGGGACAATTACTGGAGGGGAGAATGTTGGAGTTTTTTTCGTGCATTTTTCACATTCTGTATAGTCACATTTGATGTTTTGTAAAACTTTGATGTTACATATATGTGAGCTGTGACGTTGTTGAAAAAATAGATTAGAGTTATTTTGACAGTCTCAATAAATATTTATTGTACGGTATCCTGGTATATACAGATCGATAGAGAATTTTGTACTCTATAGTCTATACATTCATGCTGTTAACTTTTTTTAAAGATTTTAATTTTTTGCCTCTTTTCAGCTTATTACTATACGATGTCGTCAAGCTATTTTCGGTCGAATTTTCTCTGCGTGTTCAAATGGGGAATGTTCCTCAATTTGGGTTTTTACAGCAAATGCAAGTTTGAACTAAATAAAGTTGAGTTAAATTCATGAGTTTTTCAAATTCACTTCGAAAAGTATCCAAATTGATGTTTCAAATGTTAGGTTTTAATTGTTAAAGGGATTTGTTTCTAATTCACATATTGGCAACAACGCCTAGAAATCATTTATACGTACCTACATATTCTACTTCATAAAAGGAAAATTATCTTTATAAATCAACAATTAAGGCAAAATATAAATTATAGTTCAATACCACCTTCACAAGGTGGTATTGTTATTTATTTATATAGAGGAAGATAGGTTAGATGCACAAAATGTCATATGTCACAGAATGTCTCGGAATATAAGTAAACAGAACAGCACGCCTCTGAAATATGTCATCTTTGTTTGTCTCATACAGGTAACATATTCATTGTCCTTTATTAGCCACAGGATGATTGAGTTTTGCTTGATGGGGTTACCAAAGATGAGGAGAGCAATGGTGACGAATGTTAAAGGAACCAACTGGGCTGGATTCAGACAATGCACGGATATCAGCCAGGGAGGTTGGAAACGAAAGAGGACATAGACAGGGAAGCACTACAGCTTCAGGAAAGAATGAAAGAAGCGTGCATGAAATTTATACCTAGGAGTGAAGGGGGTAATGGACGCGGAGAGAGAATGGTGGAGCGTAGAGCTGGAAAGCCTACGAAGACATGTAAGGAGAATGAGGAGGGAAGCACAAAGTGCGAGTGGAGGAGAGGAGAGGAGACGAAGGATGGAAGAGCACAGGAGGGAAAGGAATAGGTAAAAGAGAGCGATAGGGAGAACAAGAATCAACTGGTTGAGGGAGAGAGTGGAGCGGATCCAGGATGAAAATCCATGGGACCGAGCCCATCGACTCCTCAACAACGATAGAGCGGAGGAGATGCCTACTAACGTCTTGAAGAAGGATGGTACCTTCACCGAGGGGAGGGAGGAGACCATCAGGTTGCTGCTGGCCAAATACTTCCCCAAGGACGATCCTCTGAGAAATATCCCGATTAGGCGTTGGTGGAGGGAGAGAGAGGATGGATAATGGGGAGAAAGTCAGCCTGGATTTACTATTGGGGAGCTGAGAGCGGTAGCGGAGCATCTCCTCGATGGGAAGTCAACAGGAGTGGATTGGGTCCCGAACGAAATCATTCGTAAGGTGATGGAATGGAAGGGCGAGTGTATTGTAAAACTATTCAGCGCCTGTCTGGAAGCGAACAAAGGTAGTATGAATAGCGAAGAAGGACGGAAATCCCAGGCCAATCAGCCTGCTGACTGGCATGGGCCGGATGTTAGACAGGCATCTTAACGGTAGGATGCAAGTATGGTGTGAAAGAAAGTTGAAATTCTCCCCGAATCAATTCGGGTTCAGAGGGGGAATGGATACAGTAATGGCTCTGGAGAGAGTGATGAACCGAATAAAAGAAAATAAGAGAAGAAGGAGGCATAGTCTGGTTATGGCGTTGGACCTGTCAAACGCCTTTAATACCGCATGGGCACCGGCGATTGAAGTGTGCATGAGGCGAATGGGAATGCCGGAAAATGTGGGCAGGACATGCATGAGCTTCATAGGGGAGAGAACAGTCACCTGCGGGGCGGTCTCTGAAACGGTGAACAGAGGCTGCCCACAGGGATCAAGTCTGGGACCGACACTGTGGTTGATAGTGATGGAGGCGTGGTTCGAGAGAATCAAGAACATACAAATCAGAGAAGGCATTGGAGCAGTAGGAATACAAGTGCAGGCCTATGCGGATGACCAGATTGTCATCATCGAGGGTAACTCTGTCGATAGCATAGAGAGTAGATGGAGGTTGGTATGGAATGAGTGCAAAGCATGGGAGGAGGAGATGTGGTTGAGGTACAATGAGATGAAGGACAGAGTGCATGTTCATATCAACCAGCAGGGATGAAAGACTCCCGGTACTGAGAATGAATGGAAGAGAGATAGAGAAAAAAGCGAGTGTCAGATACCTTGGGATTGTGGTGGATACAGGACTGCTGTTCATCGACCACCACAAAGAGGTAAGGAAGAAACTGAGTGAATTGGCAGGAAAACTGAGGAGGTGGACCGGGAAGAATGTTGGACTCAAGAGAGAATGTGTAAGGATGATATACGAAAGGGTGGCTAAACCTGCGGCACTGTATGGGGTACAAGTCTGGGGGGAAAGGGCACATGACAGTAGGGTGAGAAGACAGCTTAGTGCGGTACAGAGGCCGTTTCTGCTAGCTGCAAGCGGAGCATACAGAACGACACCAACGGCTGCGCTCAGCGTCATCACCGGAATGACGCCACTTCAGGTAGAAGGATGGGCCAGATATCATGAATAGAGAGTGAATGGGAAGAGTAAGATAGAAGACAGAGTGAGAGGTGAAGACAAAATTTCCCCCTGGCTGCAAGGGGAGTTGCTGGAGGAGATGGAGGGAGAGGAAGTGAGGGAAGTGTACGTGGACGCTGGAGCGAGTATGGAGGAAGAAAAAATGGGAATAGGATGGGCGTATAAAAGGAGAGGGGAGGAATGGAATACAGGGAATGAAAGGATCACCTGGCAGAGCAGCGTGAATGAAGCAGAGTTAATAGCGATAGAGCGAGTGAATGGCATGTGGAGTATGGAGGAGAATCTGAAGATAGTCAGCGACTCTGCTATAGCTGTGGAACGAGTGAAAGCAGGAAGAGTGGTGAATAAAAGGGTTGCAAGGATACAGAGGATACAGAGGATAATCACATGGAGGAGGGGACACGATGCCAAGAATGTAGTAAATGCGAAGGCCCATGAGAAGGCCCAGAAGGGCATCAACAAGGAGCAAGTCTCGGTAAGTGTGAGAAAGATTCATAATAAAGTGGAGGAAAGAAAGCGAATAAAAGAGAGTATAAAGAGAGAATGGCAAAGAAAATGGGAGAGGGGCGAGACTGGGCGACTGTTCTACAGATTTTGTGGGGCAGTCGGGCATGAATCATTGGATCTGTCGCGAAAGGCGATCCAGCTGTTCACCGGGCATGGGAAATTCCCGGGATACCTGGCGCGATTTAACCTGGGTCCGGAGGTTCCCTGCCGTGTGACTATGGAGAGCCGGAAACGGCGGATCATGTGATAGACAGATGCATGATAGGGGACAGGATTGGAGGGAGAGAGTGGAAAAAAAATTTGGAGAGGGTGAATGGGGAAATGAGTCGAAGGGATGGGAATGGGAAAAAGAAGGAATAGATAAGATTCGTGAATGAACGGACGGATAGCGTGGTGAGGGATGAAAGGGTAGGATTTGAGTGAGTTATCAAGTCACCACAGGCGAAATGGGGAAGGTCGCTTCTGGGGTACAGGGCTGTCATCCTGGTCGTGGCTGTACAGGAGTCTGTGGAAATGAACTGTACACGAATCCGATATATGCGGAAATATTGTGAGGGGCCATGGGTTGGGATAACGAAATAGTTTTATTTGATTTTGTCATGAATTAACAATAGAGTTGTTTTTAAGTTTCATTTTTAATTAGTTATATTTAGGTTGATGATAATTATGAAAAATTGTAAAAATATACATTGTACAATAATTTTTGGTAAATAAAGAGAAGGGGTCTTCTACCTCGCTGATTCGTCCTGGCGCATTAACGGCGCTTATGCGTCAGTGATGTGGCGGGGGGGAAAGTTCGGAGGAGTAGAGGTTTCTTTGACAGTGGTGGCACTAGACAGAGGGAAGATGTCAGTTGAAAGGCCTTCGGGCTAGGACAACGATGACGATTGCATTATTCATGTCCTTTATTAGCTATAACCGATGTTGCCAAATGGTGAAATAGAAACGAATCCCTTTAAATGTTGAATGCATTATTTCATTCCTCTTTTTAAAGTATTTAAATGATTTTTTAAAGAAAAAGGTTGAAGTGATGAGTTTAAAATGCGTTGTTTTAGAGCTCTTTTATGAAAACTACTTGATTTTCGTCAGGAGGAACATTCCCCATTCAGCCAAATCGCTGCCGAAATTGTCAAGTTTCGAGGTCCGTTCATCTTTGCGTTTGCGCAACCAAAACGATACTTTATTGGATCGGATTGTCACGTGTGATGAAAAGTGGATCCTCTACGACAACAAAAGACGTTCTGGACAGTGGTTGGAACCCAATGAGCCACCCAAGCACTTACCGAAGGCCGTAATCCACTAAAAAATACCATGGTTACTGTATGGTAGTTAGCGGCTGGTGTGATTCACCATAACTTTCTGCAACCCGGCCGAACTGTTACAGCAGTGTGAGGAACTCGATGAAATGTAACGAAAATTGCGTCAGCAGGTCCTGCTCCAAGACAACCACCGTCGAAGTTCTACCTCACTCACCCATTCAGTCCTCTCGCCAACCGATTACCATCTTTTCAAGCACTTCGACAAATTTCTCATCGAATCCCGAGCACATAATTTTAATGATGACGGAATAAATTGACTTGCGTTACGTTAGCATTTCAACTGGAGCTTATTTCGATTGAATTGAATATTTTCCGAGATATTACACTTCAAAGCAAATGGGTACACCTAACCAGTTGGATCCAATTCTTTCTGGGATTTCTGACAACAGGAATCGCCAAGCTGCAACAATAACTGTAACCCCTGACCAACGAAGTAACCAAACCATGACTCATTCCACAGCAGTGAGCCAACAACAATTTCCAGAAAAACCCAAGCGATCATTTTTCCTTCAGTCGATGGAATAAAAATCCAAGAATACCTGCTAGCACTAGGAAATCTCGTAAATCCCAAACAAATTCTATTTGCATCAAGGATCCCAAACAACTGAATCTGCATTTACCTTTCGAATACAGAACTGGTGAACAATTTCATGAATGAACATGGTACAATCACCTTACGAGCAAGGAGACTAATTACCCCTTCAGAGAGATTGATTTTTTCCAACGTCAGCCCTACCATTCCCCATTCTTTTCTAGAACAGGCTCTCCATCAAATAGGCCTGAAGATATTGTCACCAATAACAATCCTGCGAGTCAACATGTCCAATCCCGATTTTGCACACATACTGACTTTCAGAAGGCAAGTCTACATCAATCCACCAGAAGATGTCAACATTCCAGAGTCAATTTTAGTGTTTCAAGATAATACGTCGTACAAAGTATATCTGTCACTCAACAACTTCACATGTTTCAAGTGCCGTCAATCCGGCCATATATCTTCCCAATGTACTGCTGAACTTCAGGAACGATTAACAGAGCCTACCATCCTACTTCCTCCAGTAACAACCAAAACTTCAAACGAACCATCGCCACCATCACCTGGTCATAATGAATCTCCTTTTCCAGAAATACCATTGGAACAAAACGAAACAACTCCACAGCCTAGTGAATCATCCGTTTTTACAAACTCCAAGTGCACAAACAAAAGAACCATTACAGAAACACTGACACCAACTGATGAAAAGACACCCGATTCATTTAGGAAGCCATCATCGAGTATCCCCAATAAATAGGAGCTCATAGCAAAGAAACGAAATCCTCTGAAGAATGTATAAAACCAGCAAAGAACTTCATCGATTCAGGAAATTTTGTGATCAATTACAATCACTCAAAGATTTCTTTGAGAATGTCTATGAATCCAATGACCCTCTAAGCGCAGCTAAACAGTACACTAACGATATTCAAGGCTTATTGAGTACGATAGGCAGCATCTATCCGTATTTAAAGGAAATATCTATCAAAACTAAATGCACGAAACTCAAAAAAAAGATAGCGAAACAATTACTGTCCGAAGAAGTATCCTTCACTGACACAGAGAGCGACTCTTCGTTTCAGGAACTACAATAAATCTTTTCTCTAGATCAACCATTCTTCAGTGGAACCCTTAAGGGTTCCTCACCCAAATTAAAATGCTAAAGTTACTCATATCGGAACACCAGCCATCAATGATATGCCTTCAAGAAACTCATTTCAAAAGAGAACACACTCATACCATAAAAAACTACAGCTGCTTCCATAGAAACAGAGCAGATCAACATAAAGCCAGCGGCGGCGTAGCTTTATACGTTTACCAAACGTATAGCTCCGAAGAAATTCCATTAACGACACAGCTAGAAGCTATAGCTATTAAATTTCAAGGTGCAAAAAAGTTTAATGTTTGCAACATTTACATTCCACCAAACCGTGAAGTGACTTACGATAAGCCAGATAATCTCTTTCAACAAATCCCTAAACCGAGACTCATAGTAGGTGACTTCAACAGTCATAAAACAATATGGGGATGCGAGTCAACACACGCCAGGGGCCGAATTCTAGAGCGCATCGTAGATGAACATAACATGTTGATACTCAATAATGACGAAAAAACTCGATTCAACTCTTTCTCAGGAATTCACAGCGCAATATATCTCAGTTTCTGTGACCCTTCACTCCATGCAATGTTAGACTTCTCTATCCTCTCAGATTTATATAAGGCAGTGACCATTATCCAATCCTTCTCTCAAGCTCCCATCCTACGCATGACGAGGAGACACAGGCACCGCAAAAATGGAATTTGAAAAAAGCTGACTGGAGACTCTTCACCGACATATCAGAAGCTGTTGCACAGTATCAATTAAGAGAAAGCGTTGATGATTGCGTAAAGTACATCGTTGAAATCATAACAGATGCTGCACAAATATCAGTAGGAAAGACGAAACATCTTCCAAATCACATTCCGGTACCGTGGTGGAATCGGGAATGTAGTCGAGCGATAAAAGAATCCAAACATGCGTTCAACAGACTTAAACGTCATCCCACACCAGAAAACGTGATAGTCTTTAGGAGACTGAGAGCTAGGTCACGATTGATTATGAAGAATAGCAGAAAAGAATCATGGGCCCAATATGTATCATCTATCAGCAGTTCAACACCTCTGGGCATGGTGTGGAACAAAGTCAAGCGTATAAAAAATACTGATTATACTCCTGTATCGAGCTTTGGTGAGGACCAACATCGACTATGGATCCATAGTATATGCGTCAGCAAGAAAGCTGCCCTAAAAATTATAGATACCGTTCACAACACAGCAATGATATTAGCTCTTGTAGCATACAGAACTACACCCTCTGAAAGCCTATACTGTGGATCGGGTGAACCATCATTACACATGGAAAGAAAATATCTGAGTCTGGCGTTCGCATCTTCAGTTTTATCCAATAATTGTCACCTGACATACGACTATACGTTTTCCAATCGTTTCAGTCGGCTTTTTGAGAAGAAAAAAGAATAACGTTGCCTTTCTATCAAAGGATCAATCAATACATTTCAGAATTAAACAAAGCATTCCATTAAAATCTCCCCATTAATTACCCCGACCCTCCGCCTTGGCTCCTGGTTCTACCCCGTTGTAATACATATCTTTCCAATTTCTACGAAGTCGAAACGCTTCCCAGTTTGCTGTTCAGCTACTTTCACTCATCTTTGAGTGAATATGATGGCTTCACTCACATCTACACGGACGCTTCAAAATCAAAGCAAGGAACTACAGCAGCTTTGTCGACAGTCAACACATCCAAGGCATTCAAATTGTCTCCGATAAGCAGTATTTACAGTGGAAAACTCTTCGCAATAAACCAAGCGATAACATTGGCTAAGGACGAAGAGATCAACAAAACACTTATCTTAACTGATTCACTGAGTTCACTGCAGGGTATCCAACAAATATACTCAAACTCTTCGTTAATAAAGTCCATCAGAAGCAATATATTTTCAGTCAACGAGGCCTCCAACGCATTGGAATTCATGTGGGTTCCCTCGCACATTGGCATCATCGACAATGAGAGGGTAGACAGAATTGCCTGTGAAGCCGTGTATGATGAAAAACTGCAAGAGCAACAGAGTTTGTCCCATACTGATCTCAAACATCAAATGAAACACAGCATTCTCAACTTTTGCTATTCCAAATGAAACATCTCAAGATTGAAATTGAGAGAAATCAAAACCAATACTACACCATGGAACAGAATTCCTGCACAAAGGAGACACCAGATTGTTATAACACGTTTACATATGGGACATAATCGATACACACATGAACATTTGCTAAACGGGGAGGAAAAATGCAATACGTTTACGTATGGAACATAGTCGATACACACATGAACATTTG